GCGCTGTGAAAAATGCCTTTTTATATTCACTCTCCCTACCAAAATATGGTTGTAGTACCATTGAAGTAGTTCATGACCTAATCTACTTTGCATCAAGATCTGTTGCATGACTCATAAACCTTACGGATTCGAAATTTTTGGATTTTATTCAGTTTTTATGTTGTATTTCCAAGAAGTGATTAMGTTACCGCGGAATATAATCCTTTTSCACTCTCTGTCTACACTAGTCGTCAATTAAAAGATTACCTATATCGATTGCGCACTTTAAGACTTAATACTGTATTCTAACAGTGAGGGAAATAAAATTGTTAAAGGTCTCGTGTTGTCGTTTTTAGATGGCCCTATTCCCGTGCTTTGGGGATGAGGACAAGCCGGTTGAAAGTATTMCAGCGCCTTCAAAGTCTTTCAGGTTTCCTCGGCTCCATCGAAAACGTGGAGAATACTCACCGCATCTTGAACGAGAAAAAGTGTTTGGTCGGAATTGTAGGACAATTGATGGATGGTATTTCAGAAAACAAAGTTAYCGTGCTCCAAAGCCTAATCTAAAGGTGAGGAAATTTGAGAAAAGTCAATAATTTATTTGATTTTTATTTTTTGGATTATGAGGTGAGATCTTTTTGAATTGTAAATGTGAAAATTGTCATCTTTATATGTACTATTTGATCACTTCTGCGCCTGCGTATTTAAACCTTCCGGTTTACAAGGGAATTRATTCATTTTCGTTTCCAATCWCTTATTTAATTCTGCACACAGCAAAAAGATGGGATTTTCTTAATTCCCTTTTAACGATTTGAATTTATATGCTAAATATCATGATAACGAAAAGAAGATCGTTACGTGAGGCAGGTGTGCTTGAACAACAAACAACAAAAAGAAAAGCAAACATCCAATCKATTTTATGTCCATTTCAACAGTCGGTAAAACTAGCTAATGAAGTAATCCGCGATGTTATGTCAAACAATGTATATTTGATTATTGTGATGTCTTGAATTCACGTGTGAATTGAAGTCACGGAAACCACTTCAGCAGCTTCTTAGTCCACACGTAGCGATAGCTGGGATCAATTTTACACACCTTTTTTTTTGGAAACTGTTCGGAAGTCAGCATACGTTAATTGGGTCTGTATTCGTGAAAAAATAGAGACCTTAGATTAACCGCATTCAGTGTAGGGTTACGGGTAACCTACCCCAGGGTGGACAGATGATGACATTTATTGCATTGGGACATCTTTTGTATAAACATGCTCACCTCATTCCCGTACCTTATGGTCTGTAATACTGAATAACTTACTAATGYTAAAATGTCTGGCTACGAACTGGGGCCACGTTTTTTCGTCGAGGTGAGTCATGACATGGTATACCGGTATGAGRACGTGCRATAGAAAACATTTCGTTTGCCTACATCGTCAAATTCATTAATTCATAGGCAATCAAGTATGCGTTTATTATTACCAGATATATATTGACGGAATTTGTGTGGACACATAAAATGCACAAACAGCTAGACGAACGGATGGACAGTCAGAAGATTCTATTTGGCGTGTTTGGTGCACAGGCAATGATGTTGTTCAAAATTAACACCCCCACCCCCCCTCCTCCCTCCATCCCCTTTCTGAGTCTCGATTTTCAATATTTGAAATCATGGGGCGTCATGACAAGCTACACGAGTAATGACTTAACAGTTAGACTTACGCCAAGAGGCATCTAAATCTCATGTAAAACAACGGACTAAAAGTAAGGCTGTTATATAAAGTTTGGGGTACCTACCCCACCCTCACCCTATTTTCAAGAGCAGCAGCAGTTGTTGGTTGTTGTTGTTTGTTTGTTTGTTTGTTGTTGTTGTTTTTTTTTTTTTTTTTTTTTTTTTTTTTTTTTTTGGGGGGGGGGGGTAACCACTCCCCAGTTTAGAGTTCAAAAATGTAGATTTTAGAATTATGATAGAAAAAAGAAGAGTCAAATCTGAATTGGAATCATTCTGAAAACCAACTATATYAACGTTCAACTGAAACGGACAATTCAGTTTTACCCAGCCCTGAATCTATCCATTTAAAATATTTTGTCTTGGCTTAGACTTTCCCCTTTGTTTGATGTTCGGGATCCGCCACTGACTTTCCTAAGGATAAATTTTGTWCTTAATCCTCGTGTTTGGATTTATTTTTCTGTAGACGCTCTATTACCAAAACAACAGCTTCCTGCCTCTGCAACTTCCGACCACTTTAGTCAATAATAACTCCTTGTTGTGGTATATCATGAATCGATGTCTGAGTACTAAAATCTGTTAGGCATTTGATATGCTTTAAAAATACCCTCAATTCTTCATCAATAAAAATCAAAWAGGATATTTTTTACGAGTATTTTGAAGTTTCAGAGAAAAGCTCGCAGACGCGATAACGCGGAACTAAAGTGACAGAAATTCCTTTCAGATAGCTAAAATATATCGCCATTTGTTCGGCGAACACGCTTTCATTCATTATATTTCAAACGAATTTGAAAGTGCKCYCAAYAAACTTCCGGTGGTTATCCGTGACTCACTTCCTGTGTCTGATCTGTTACCAAGGACTACTACCCAGAGTGCTTTAGTGAGGAGTAAGGTCACGTGCCATTGTGTTGTTCCTCCAGCAGCTACCAGTGTGGTTCATAATGGCGGTGGCGAACTCGCACCGCGATCCTAGTTATCTATTCGAAGAGCACCGTAACGGAGATATTTCCAATAACCACGACTCAGAGGTATCGCTAGAGAATTTTCCTAGCTCTGGATCCAGTTTCCAGAGCTCTGGAAGGCATTTCGCTCTTGCTAGGCGGATGAATTTACCTCTCAAGTTATTCGTGCAGTTGTGTTGTTATGATTTGATGTTGGGCTCTCCAGGGTTGAGCAAACCTGACGCCAAGGATATTTTTTTTTCTCTTTGCAGGTTAGAACTGTTCAACACGTTATCAGACTCACGAAAGAGAATCTCGAGCAACTGAATGCCCAATTTTCAAACATACAGCACCCACCGTCTATAATTCTCGAGGTTAGACATTTTAATTAATTTTATTCATTTTTCTATCTGAAATTTACCTTGTAAACCTTTTACGAAATGTGCAGTTGAAGTTTGATATATTTTTTAAAAGGTCATCCTTCCTTGAATATAATTTTCCGCCGGTTGTCATTCGCCTTGTTTGTAAGCTTGATGTGTTTTCGTATCGTCTTGTTCTCCTAGTTCCCCCCAAGTCATTTCGTCACTTCATATTAATGTATTTTGACTTAGCTATGAGTTAGCCGTATGTTTGAACATTTTTCCATTTTCACGRACAATGAATTAAGTAAATACGTTAAGGTCTTGAATCAAGGGATMAATTTTCATCAAAGTTTTGAATGAAACTAGAGAATTTTCGGAAGGTTTTTGGAACCACAACATTTCTGATCACTGGCTCCTTGTTCTTCGACCTGAGTAGCTAGGTGTCTGCTTTGCCTAATGCGAGTTATTATTTTTTCAATTTGCACCTTACATTTAAAGGCTMGGGACTTTGTGAAAAAACATTTATGGCGGTATAATTGAATATTTCGGATGGAAATCACGTCTCCAGAAATGCCAAATGGTCGAAAACGTTGTCGAATATGGCGTAAACTTGATGACTTTACCATCGCGTCGTAAAGATCACAAGATCAGAAGATGACAATCAAACGTTTTTTGACACTTTTTCTACCTAGGTTCATATAATAAAATAATTTTTTCATGTCACTAAAACTATTGTTTATATTCACGTCACGTCGYACTCTGTAATACGGTCATTTCGTCATCGACCATTATGAGAAATTATSGGCATTGTATGAGCTTTCAAATCCAATTTTATCTTGTTATACATCGTCAAATCGTGCTGTTTGACTGTTTTGAATGGATTTATTTCAATTAACTGTTTTAAATTGTGTTTCTTTTCCAATATTAACTGAAGTTAGCTAAATCAGAAATGATCATTATTATATTTGCCTTTTGCAGGAATTTAACGAATTAACATCGAAACTATCCGAGCTCGAAACTCGAGAAAAAGAACTATTAGAACTTCGAAATGGAGGATCTGCGTCAACTAGTTCGAGTGCTACCCCTTCCTCATCGTCCGGTCCAACTTCGCCAACTCTYAGTTCTCGGAATGTTTACGCTACGGATCCYACRTCTCCGCCGTTACGTGCTCATGTCAGAGCGTTTTTACCAAATCACCAACGAACAATGGTAAGGAATATAGCTTTGTAAATAAGTAAGCTTACGAATTAAGTTATTGGCACGTCCATTTAAAATTGTAGAGGCTATGAATTCCTTGGTAGTTGTTTCATTCTTTATTTCAAATGAATGAATGGGATTTTGTCATTCCCAATCTCATTTACGTCAAGTCAATAATTTTTTGAGATATGAATTTTTCAGTTTCCTATAAAACAACAAAAATAAAAAAAGGACAAGTAAAAATAATAATAATAAACAAATAATAATAATGATAATAACACCCACTTTTATAATTCTTGTGCTGATTGTTTGATAGGAGCTTGTCAATAACAGGATATTAATACTTTGTGCTGACACAGTCATGTCTGACAAGCAAACAGAAAAAAAGTTTGTTTTTAACTTAAAATGTGGTAAAAACAAATTGCAAAATAATGTTGTCTATACAATCTTGATATCCAAAAATGCCCAAAACTTTATCACGAACTTACTTGCTGCGCTGGTTGATCCACTTGAGTTTTGAGCAATTATGACGTCAAGAGTGTGTCATTAAAAGGACATAAAACTCAAAGCTGTAAGCAATTTGTTAAATTTTTAATCTTGCCATTTTGGATTGTATGACACTGAGGAATGTGTCTGCAACCTTTTTTATTGTAATAGAAGGGCAGTTGTTTATTATAGAAGGTATACCTTTTTACTGCAATTGTTTCCATGGAAATGCTACTACAGGCTATGCTAAATCCATCTGTTTGCAATGTTAATTAAGTWAAGACGGCATACAGCAATTTSAAGAGAGGTTGTCAGGGAGAATTGTGAATTAGATATTAACAAACAGTTTTGCGATACTTTGTCAATCCTGCACTATAATTGACTTCCTGAAATTGAGATCCTGAAAAATGAGATTTCTAGTATTTTGAGGGTTTTTAATAACAATCGATTTCCAGCGATTTTTATGATATAATATATAAAATATGAGTGGGAGGCATGGACATTCAAAACTACGAGCTACAAACTTGAGTAAAAATAAAAAAAATAGAGTAGTCCATGCAAGAACTAGATTCACAGGAAGCCTAGAATCCTTGTATTCTTCAAAATAGTCCACCGCAAACTATAATTATACTTGGTAGATTAAAAGCTTTATACCTAAAGTAGAAATGTAAAAATAAACATGCTGAATTTACATGTGAAAATGCATATTATAATTTATGCATAAATCAARAATTCACAATGTTGAAATTTCAGAAAAAAGTTTTTAAATGTATTTTTTGGTATATTGATTTCTAGGAAGTGTTTATTTGTTTGTTCAACTTTTTTGATATATTTGTGTTTTAATGAAAATATTTTTCTGTTTTATAGATAAAATGTAAAACTGGTATAACACTAAGGGAGGCCTTGGACAAACGGATACGAACAAGAGGAATATCACCTGAAACATGTTTAGTGTTTCACTGCGAGACAAGGTACATAAGTTGGATTGATGTTTCCTCTAGTAATCACTTAAGTTTAAACAACAACTCGGGCTACCTTGTCAGGTCTAAGACTCGAAAGACCCAGGCATATTTTATTCAATCAAATCATCATAAAATTAGTCYTCTCGTTCCTATAGTAACACATTTCTCTCCATAGTAATCAGTTATTCAAAAAAGCTGCTTCAAAAAAGGTTGTCAGATAAAATGGCGAATGTCAATGGTAAAACAGCAATTGCACGACTGAAAGTAGCCATGGGTTTTGCTATTTGAAAGGCAATAACAACTGATTTGTACTGTAAGATGGTCTGTGGTGAACATTGCCTCCATTTAGTCTCCATTTCTATGTTAGGTGAATCCAATAAGTGAAAGTTTGTTTATCAAAACAGTGTAGCCATATTCCATTTCGGTCGTGCAATCTTCTTTCGACAATCAACATTCTCCCCGACAACGTTTTTTGAAATAGCTGTATACTTAAAGTATTTGCAATTAAAAGATGTAATTGCTAAATTTGAAAATGAGAAAATATTCTTATTTCGAAATATGTTGTTGTTGTTTTGAAAAATGTTGCATTCTAAAGGCAAACTATAATGATGTTTTAAAAGTAACTATGCACATGTACCATTGTGTTTTTGGTGTTAAAGTTCATACATAATATATTAATTAATGTTAATTGATTTTATTTACAGAGATATCATTCCATGGGATACAGATCTCTTTACATTAGAGGGGGAGGAGGTACGTCATGTGACTAATCTTTAAATTACTATTTATTGATGTAGATGCTAATGACATGTATGTTTAGAAGAATTATCTTAATTCCTGTATTGCATGTAGGTATGTATACAGTTTTCTGTTTAATTATGTCTTTTTAATTATGTACTTTTTATTATAGATCTCAGTAGAAATGATCGATGATCTCCCAAGGACGAGCAGTTTATCTCACACTTTTGTAAGTGTTTTGTTGTTGACTTCAATTGATAAATTATTGGTATAACGAGAATACTGTCTCTAAAGTAAACTTGAAAAAAAATCACCAGAATGATTTTAAGCTAAAGATTTCCAGAAGCTATCAAAGTTTGTTTGTTGACAAAKCTGTCACTCACTCGCTCTCAAACTTACTCACTTTCCTGTAAACTGTTGATGTTGAATTTAGTAGTTATTCACTATTTATAAAATATCCATACMATGAAATAACACATAATACAGTGTATGTATTTACTGAGATATGTAAAATTCAATGAAATTGAATTTTATGAATAACAGTATTAAAGTACACTGTACATACATGTTATATAATYATGATTTTCAAATACTTTCTGGGCACAAATACAGATTGTAGTATTCACAAATTGCTTTATGGTCTTTTAAATGTTTCAGATGCGAAAGACATTCTTTACTTTAGCATTCTGTGACAAGTGTCGGCGGTTATTGTTCATGGGATTTAGGTAGGACATCAAAAAATACAAAATTCAATCTAGTTAAATTGTCAAACAATAAAATATTAATTCATTGACATACTACTATAATTTCAACTTTTGAATTTCTTTTCATCAAACTATATTTGAGGATTGTAAAGCTTTTCCTTAGAAGACATGAAAAAATCCTTTAATCAGGCATGTCGGAATTGTGCGTGAAAAAAAATCAAAATCATGCATAATTTTTTCCCCATATTATGCATAGAAAATGGTAAATTATGCGTAAAATAATGCGGCATGACTTCATCACAGGAACGTAAACTTTGGGAAATTTTACATATTTTTAGGTTATTGTGTTTGTTTTTCATGCAAAACTCTGTTTTTATCTTAGTTACGAAGTATAGAAGGCAGTGCCAACTGAAGGAAAGACCTTTTTAGACTTTTTCGTTCTTGCACGCTTTACGTCTCACTTGTATCATACAGTATGCCATATTGGAATTTTTCACGTAATCTGGTAAGGCACAGGGTGACCAGTAATGCTAGTGCCCAGACTCTTTTCTGATGAAATTTTGAACGCCTGGTACATTTGTAAAGGCCACGAAAACAAAACTATATTCGGAAAATTGTAAGCATGTTTTGGAGTGTTTTTTGATAAAAAAAAAACAGTCAAGGGACCACAAAAAAACATTAGTAGGATGCTTCAAAGCATTGGCGCATGGTCCGCATCCATGCATAATGCCGGCATGCTTGTTTAATTATTTTGAAGGTATCCAGTGATGTCGCCCCGAAGTGATGTCGCCCCATGATCTCGCCCCCATATATAAGTGATCTCGCCCCCACTTAGTTATTGATATATATATGTAGTCGTAATGCAAAATATAAACAGTCTGTGAGACAAATACATGTCTTTTGGCACTGAATTAAGTACTTAGTTAACAACAAATAGTTAACGCAAGTCGAGTGGATCATTGCAGTGGTTTGCCGATGAAAATTATTTAAGTTTACCAACATATCTTAAACAAGAACTTTGACATTTCAAGAACTCCAGAA